GCTTCGTGATGTTACCATTTAAAAAAAAAACAAGACGGAAGGCAATCACTTCACCAAGTTATGAAATCCTTTGCGTCGAGAGCCACACGTGTTTTGGAATCCGATCCAAACACTGTCTCGTCGGTGAAACCTTGATATTAAAGGTTGTGACGCACTAGAGCGAGAAGTCGTAAGTGGAGCGCGAAACTTTACCACGTCGTCGGTTGAGTGCAGCAGCTTGCACGTTTCAGGCTCGCAGGCCGTCCTGCCGCTGGGGGAATTTTTCGAAAAACACATCCCCCTAATACTCCTCTGATACGACCCCTCTTCCCCATGCTAGCTACCATTTTTCCCAACTTCCAACCATTTTTTCTAGTTTTCCAGTTTCTCCGGTACCCGCGCCCTGGCAATTCCTAGGCGTCGTTCCTTGTACAAGTACATCAGGTCCTTCGGCACTCTGAGACTTGTCCCATTTTCGCGGCTTCACCGTGACTGGAGGAGGGATGGCGCTCGCTGGCCTCTCACTAGGCTGCAGTTCTGAAGCCTCCCTGGTTGTCCCCGCCCTCCAAACCCGACGGCAATTTCTGTCACGAGCTCAGTTTCTACATTGTGTTCTTGGTTTCTTTTTCCAGTGTAAGGTGCTATTAGCACTGACTGATGCGAAGGAACAATTAGTGAATTTGAAACAAGCGGGTCTGGAAAACTCGCGCAGAGTGCCAGCACCCTACTAGGAGTGTCATCCATGATTTTTTTTTTGCTATTTTCTTCCCTGGAGAGTCATTTAGGGACTATACGTTCGTGTTGATCACTATCCACAATATATTAGGTTGTCCGGAAAGTTTTGAAGAAATTTCACACTTTAGTTTGAAGAAGTGTAGCAAGCGAATGCCCCAACAGAACGTCATATATCAAGTGCTATGAGAAAGAGAAATGTTTGTAGATCAATACTAATGCTGGTTGTTATTATTCTCCATTGTTGGTATGATTTGACATTACCTGAAAAATGTACGAGCGCGCACGACTCCCAACGCCTTTTACTTCATCTTCACCGTTCTGGCTCCTCTATCGGTCAAATCGGGAATGAGGAACCGCCTCCGATGCTGGATAAAATGCGCTTCAAAATTATCTATACTAGGAGATCAATCGGTCTCTTCCATGGAAGTTTAGCTTAGATGTTGCGTACGCCCCCTCATTCTCAGTACTCGCTTAGTTCTAGCTCCCACGCAAGGTAATCCCGCCCAAAAGGTAAGGGACATAGGATGGACAACATTTATTATAACTATGAACTACTATCTCTTATTGTTGTTGATAAGTGTTAAATGAGCTGGTTGAAATTTCTCAAAACTTTCCGGACACCCTAATACATACAATTGGGGGTTTCTTTAACTGATTATTTACAGTTAGTACTTATCATGGCGATCAGTCGCGTAAACTTCCATAGGGGTGGACTGACCCCATGTGCAGCGTTTTTAACACTGGTTGTTTTCTTCCTAAGTCGACCACTTTTCGATAACCAATGGTAGGGTAAAACAGCCAGAAGCGGGTTCATCGTGCCCTTCTCACACCGCCTCCGACTGATTGCAATGTTACAAAGTAGATAGTCCCCGTTCTCGTCAATGACTACTGTCCAGCAATTCCTAAAATGCTCTCAAGTCCCACTTCGCACTGTTCGTGTCCACTTATGGTTGAGTTGTCGTCTGAAAATGTCTGAAACTCCAAAACGGGCACTGCTTGCAAGAACTGTGCACTCTGCAAAAGAAAGTTTTTTTCGTTACCCATAAGACTTACCCTCAGAGAAAACCCCGAAGAAGGAAAAAAAGCGCTATCAGCGGCAGATTGTGGGTGAAAGCAGCTGGTCCAATTGGTGCAGCCATTTGTGCGCGTGTCGTTGTAGGGAAGGAGTTCGGATTGGAATTTTAAGCCTTGCTTGGATGGTTTAGAGACCGTTTTTCGTTGGAAAGGACATCGTGTAACGCTTGGCCAGGGGCTTGGACATCTTTGTTGACCGGCGTGTTCATCTCACATGCGAAGGGGATTTATCTTGCCCTTTGCCTCTAAGTCTTTCCAATTCATTTGGGCAGCTTGAAGTAGTCTCAGTGAAGATATGTCCGCTTGCCGCTTGTCTTACTTTCAGCTGACCAGGAAAGGTCAACAGGTCAGCCTGGCCATTTGCAATGAGATGCACATCGTTGTACCCGTCTTGAGACGGTGAACTCAAAACTATCTTCAAAATTTGCGGCATGAGGGGGGGGGGGGGGGGGCGGAACGATTCTCTGAGCGGAGTTAGAGAGGTTTTTCTTTACTGTTTTTCTTCTTACGGGCGCGCTGGCGCCGAAGCGTTGGCACCTGTAGCGCGACTCACAGCGCTCTTCGCGCAAAACAGGTATCATATTCGTGTTCAGGGGGTCAAATAACCCCCTAGAGACGTCACCTTAGCGAAATCTGAGGTTCTGACTCAAACTCTCGAAAAAATGGTATGGATAGTCATGCGTTGCGCCTGAGAGCAACAGCGATACTAGGTGAGACTGGTCTTCGAACTGAAACTGACTCTGTCAGTCTCGTCTCGCCAAACAACGTACCTGCGCTTACTTATTTGTGCCGTCTGCATCACTTCTTGACTGATCGCCGGGAGAATCCATTCCGCAGGACCAGTCAATCGATGGGTTAGGTCAGCCTCCAGTCTGCTGCTTATAGTACCCGTGGAAAAAGCCCACATTTTCTAAGTGAGGTTGAAATATCGGATTCGGCTAGAAACTTGTCCCCAGGGGTAATTTAACCCGCTGAACATGAATATGATGGTATTTCATTGCAAAAACCCTTGTGACACGTGTTACGAGGGGTACAAGCAGAAGCACTCTTTCAGGCCACAATGGGTCTACACTTTTCAAAAAAAAAAACTGGTTTGCAAGTTCCCCTATAGCGTGGCGCAGGCGAGCAGAGATGTAGGGGGCTTGTGTCGTGCTATGTATCTGTGCGACAAATGCAAAAGAGACATTTCTGCCTGATAGCCGATCCTACGACGTCCCGCCTAAGAACCATTCCCTAGCGCGTTGCGCTCTACTACCACGATTCAGTATGAGTACATACATAAATGAAAAGACGCTTCCACGTTTCCTCGCGATAGCATGTGGAACGACCACGCGGGGATAAGACCCTCCATAATTCCATTCAGAGAATCGTTCAAATTCTGAAGGGAGATTTGAGTTCACTGCGACGCGTCCCAAAGATGCGTAACACCGCGTGCAGCTCATTGGAAATGGCCAGGCTGACCTGTTGACCTTTCCTGGTGAGAGGATTTCGATCAGGCCTACAGTCCCCTTGTATCTCCTAGAGAGTGCCAATTGGCACCTTATTACTGCTGGCCGCCGTTCCTCATATTGTAGGATTCATCGAAAGTTTATATTGGAGTTGTTACCTCGAAGCAGTATTCCGCAAATTATTTTAAGTGTTATTTTCCCTTGTGGTTGATGTGACTTCTCTGACCATTTTTGTGTGCTGCTCTTCCTTGTACAGCTGTCGGAAGTATTATTCCGCCTTTCATGGCACACCTTGTGCGCAGGAGGAATAAGTGCACACAAATGTGTCCGCGCATAACCTGATAGAAATCGAACTCGTGGCGCAATCCCAAGAGATTAATCTATGTCACTACTCTGTACTTCTCTCTCATTTTTCGTTTCCATGTTTCGAATTGCCCAAGTTGCTGCTGAGGCTGCTCACTTAATCAAACAATATATGTGCATGAAACTCGCCACTTTCCGTGATGTCCTTCGAACATGAAGGTAGTATTGAAACCCAGAACCTACAGTCATTACCCCTGCAAACCAGAGGGTGTGTGAAGGGATATGGATAAGAGCGCAGCCAGCGCAGAATTCTCGGCGTTGTTCGGCTTGGAGGGCTCATTTTGTAGGATTGCTAGTTTCTCTTGTTAGTTCATGTCTAATAACAGGCCTCATTCTGGCGCGACCTGTTAACTCCTGCGGACCACCGAAATGAGGCGAGTCAGCCTCTATTGTTACAGGTCTTTCCAGGTTTTCACAAGGTGGCCTGTACTAGCTTAGCCGAGTAACCATTGGTGCCGCGTTGAATGCTGCTTCGTGGACGACGTTTCCAAGCACCCTCACCCCTCCTCCCTTCAATCCATGCCCTCTTTTTTTTGCAGAACCTTATGACTATGTTGACTGTTATATAAAGTTAATAGTAACTCTTTGCCTCTAGACGGTATGTCTATTTGACAATATGAGTAAATAAAACAGACGGTTTCCCACTCACAGCCGAGCATTATGGACTTCCAGTGAAACTAGGGGCGATACTCTTTTACATTCTATTACAGATTTTGGAGTACTTTTAAACAAGAGTTTTCTCTTAGTCTCAGCATACACCGGCCCGTAATTTTTCAGAAGTCTCTTCTATGGCATTACTCTTCCGTGGTTCCAATGAAAGATGAGCAAAATGTTGATCAATGTGCAAACTTCCCCGGACGATCATACCCGAGAAAGGATCGTGCGATCAGTCAATTTCCCAAGCCATCGGAACAGTCAACCGTACGATTGACTGGAATTTGTTGACGTGGGGGCCGCATCAGAACCCGTGGTCGCGTGTTTGTTAGCAGCGAACACGCACGCTGCGCCAGCAGACACAGACGGCCGATTTTCCGCAAGTGATAGAAGTACTCAGCAAATAATGATTTCATTTTAATACATGAGGTCAATATTTCAGGAGCGATATTGATGATCTAGCAGAGAATGAATAGAAATGAGTAAATAATGAAACAGTAGTAAAGGCTAGGCATGCAATACTATGATGTCATGAGTTTCTAGAATCCAATAGATCACAAGACTTTTAGTCATAAAAAGTACGGCTCAAAGGTTGTCCATACAAACACAAATTTAGCGATATAACTAAGAAAAATAGCACCAGTTGTTGAACGGGACCCGATATAGTAGAAGATTCCATGCAATGCGGAATGTGAAGTGAAAGCTCGACGGTAGTTATGTAAACTCTTAAAGTAACACTCTGAAAGACTAAAACTTGAAGTTCTTAGGCGGTAATGGTGGAGGATGGTCAGGTGGCTGTTGAGTCCTGCTTGGTGGTCTTGTGGGTACCAGAGGTGGTGCATCCAAAATCGACGACATTGTAGATGAGTCGAAGGCGTCGGCGAACTTCATTTCGAGCCATGGATTAGAGCCTCGTACATGGCTCATTGGTCGGAACTCGGACAGGTAGCTGTACTGATGCTGGAGAGGTGGAGGCGGAAGCATCGGCGGACGTGGAGGAGGGGTTTCTGGTGGTAGCTGGCGTTTGTGCAACGTTGAACAATCGCCCACAGAAGAAGGAGCTTTCGTCGAAACGGCCACAGATATAGCTTCGGGCTCATCGTCCACTTTGCGAGAGCCGATCGTACAGAAACCTTCAAAGAGAACCTCTCAGTTAGAATCATACAAAGGCCAAAGAGCAGTATTTGTTACCTCGAACGAATAGCGACAGCATCAAGGGAAGGAAGATGAGGCCATGAATCAAACCTATGGAGATCGCCAGGAACACCTGCAACGACAGATCTGCTTGTCCTAGACTGGGCCAGGAAAACGAAGTCATAAACAAACAAACCGTTTTGAAGAAAGTTACGATCATGTAGGCGGGTACATCTGCCAAAACAACAACAGCCAGAATGGTGGAAGTAGCGCCTGTAAGTGGGGTTTTTTCGGAACAATGAAGTCCCATAATCATAAGTAATTTGGCGAAGAATTGAACAGACCCTGAGCTACTGGCCAGCCGAGGTCGCCGAGTGCATCGCGAACTCTGTCTCGTGGGTCGGGTTCCTTCGATATCACATAGCCATAGGTGATGTGGGCTGAGTAGTCCACGGAAAATCCCACGGACATGATGATCGTTATCATCGATATCGCATCCTGAAGTAACTGCTGGTGATGGGTGGTTTGGAAGACTAAGATTTTTTCGGAGTTTTTGAGTTCATAAAAAACAGTTCCCTAATATAGCGTAACAGTTTTTGATTTTTTTACATATGAATCGGCAAGAATTGTAGGAAATTGACTTAACAACAGGGAAGCAGATCGAACGCGTACCAGATTAACGCCCCAAAGTGTCATGTAGCCGAGAACGCCGAGGTCGATGGATCCGATGGTGAACGCCACCCAAAGGGCGCAAAATGGCTGAGGAATAAGTAGAAATGCAATGAAAAGCATGCAGAGTACAGCAATCACAATGTCTTGGACCTGAAAATCAGAATTCTGCACCTTGTCTCTGGATTACTGTCAAAAAAAACTGTAAAGGTCGAAGTATCTTACCGTATTCGGTACGACAAGATCATATTGATCAGTAAAAAGCCAGAGTGGCATGAACGTTGTCACATTGTATTCGGGAAAGATTGCTGCTACCTGAAGGCAAGCATCCAAATAGATTCATAATAGTAACAGCATTTGAAGGATCATTTGCTCTATACAACGATTTGTGGGAGGAGTAGAAAGAGTGTCAGGGCGCCGATCAGCGCTTTTCTTCTCTCAGATGAATCCATACTCAGTAGCCGATCTGAACGGATGAGAAGCTTGGTTGTACCGGGTCATACTGCCCGATGCAGTCTCTGGTCCATGCTTTCTTGTATCACTTGCAACTAACTACACACTATATCCCCAAGACTGAGAGGGCGTAGCTGCGTATTTCGCTCGAAGCTGACAACAGCCTTTTGGGTGAGATATTGCTGATCTGGAGCAGTTGTAATCATGCCTTTGTCGGGCAAAAGTTTTGATCAGTGCTTCAAATGGAAATATTCTGCGAAAGGCGTAGAATGAAGTATGCAGCCACGCCCTCTGCATTTCCGGATA